ACAGTAGATTACGGAGTAAAACGAGGGGAGGAAAAAATAAAGGTAGATTGCATTGATAGAACACGTTTTAATTTTGAACAAAATACACACACACACACACAATGTCAGGGGGAGCTGATGGAGAGGGTGGGGCAGAGAGTAAGGGAGTGCCAATTCAGGGAAACATTCAATGGCAGTAGGGAAAGATTAACTTTATAGCCAAGGATAGTTTACAAAGGACGGGAGATATATACGAGTATATTTAACGTAGAAATATATGGATTACATTTTAAAAAGTTCAAACTCACGACTCTGCTCCTCTTCTGCTTTTTTCATTCGATTCTATCTTCCCTCTGCCCGTGGTAGTCGTTTTACCGTTACTTTTCCTCTGCTTTATCTGTTCAGTTCATTTCATACAAACGTACGCACGGCGATTGCGAAATTGCGACGAGAGAAAGACACGACAAATGGAAAGATTTCTCTCGCACTCGCACTGCACTCACACACTCACTTTTCATATTTTTACTCCTTTTGCCTTTTTTTTTACTACGCTCTGCTCTCTTTTCCCCTCTTTTCAACGACCGTTACATCTTGAAGGGGAAATATTTTGATACACGCACACACACATGGCAAGACATTGCTAAACCAAACGAAAAAAAAAAACTGAGACACCTCCTGGAACGCTGGAATCGGGGCTCCGCTGATTTTTGCACATACTTCATATATTGCCGCATTGTTCCCTCGCCGATATGCCATTTTGCCTCTTGGACCGCCTCCGCAACTAATCACGCACTTTTTCGTAGACTATTTTTTGCCCATTTGATTATTCACTTTACCACAACACAACACTACATTACACTTCACATCATATTGGCGCCTTTTTCCTTCGCCGATCTGCCTTTTGAATGCCATTTTGCCTTGTGTAAAGCCTCCGCTCTGGATTACACTAAAACACTACTTTTTGACCATTTTCAAAGATTATTCACAAATACGCGACACTTCTTTCCATTTGATTTACCGAATATTCCCGTTTTTTTTTTCGCGAGCCGAAACGCGGAGCTGACCTTCAAGCTGGTCTGGCAGAGAAAAAACTGTGAGCGCGATGCAGATGCGTAGCCAGCTTGGCACACGCACGTTCCTGCGACGCTCTCCTTATGCTCGCACTTGTTGCTCTCTCACACTCTCCCACGCTCTGCTCCTCTTCAGCGCCCTCGCGTACTTCAAAGCGAGATCGAAGGTGTGTGGTTGTCGGCACCCGACGACATGTGGAGTGAGAGTGGCGAGGGAGAGGAGGCTTAAAGTGCCTCTCTTTCGGCTTATCTCTGCAATTGTAACGGCTCGTGTTCTACCGAAAGTTTCGGTTCCTCGTTTCCCTAACTCTCTCTTTCTTAACTACGGCAAAAGAGATGATCGACTCCTGCTGCTGCTCTTCGTCTGCCTCTCTCACTTAAAATGAAATCGAAAGTGTTTGGCTGTGGGGTAACAGCTGTTAGTGGGAGCGAGATGGCGAGGATTACAATGCGTTTTGCGGTTATTTGCGTAGAATTGAATGTAGAATGTAACCAAGAATGTTATGCAGAGTATAATTCAATTTAAAATGCAAATATTATATATAATTGAAGCATTTTAAGGTATTTTTTATACCCGTACTCAAAAAAGAGTTAAGTGGTATATTAGATTTGTGGTAAAAGTGGATGTGTGTAACGCAGAGAAGGAAACGTTTCCGACCCCATAAAGTATATATATTCTTGATCAACATCAATAGCCGAGTCGATAGAGCCATGTCTGTCTGTCCGTCTGTCTGTCTGTCCGTCTTGTTGAGCGCCTAGATCTCAGAGACTATAAGAGCTAGGGCAACCAAATTTGGTTTCCACACTCATGTGATATCACACTGCTGCAAGTGTATTTCAAAATTTCGCCCCGCCCCCTTCCGCCCCCACAAAAGACGAAAATCTGTGGCAGGCACATTTTTAAAGATACGATAAAACTAAAAACGCAGTATCGTAGAGAATGCCCATACCTACCAGACTGCCGAATCTGAATCAGATCGGATCATAATTATAGCCAGAATGAAGAAATTAATTTTCAGTTGCTTCCCCTGTCCCCCCTCCCGACGACGACAACGAAACTCATTTTCCTTCTCGCTCGCACACTCTGCCGCGTTCAGTGCACGAGCAACCCCTAGCGGAGGAGATGTAGAATCTAAATGAAGCATGTACATTGTACAATCTACATGTTAGATGTAGAATATACATTGTAGATGTAGATGTAGATATCAGATGTAGCAAAAAAATGTAAAATGTAAAATTTTTTTTTTTCTAAAATTCTAAAAAATCATAAGATCAAAAATGTATATACTGACTGAGTACGGGTATAAGTAGAGTCGCGTCCCCAGAAGCGACTCGCACGTTCCTTCTCGTTTTCTTCTAGTAATTTTCTTTTCACTATCCCAACAGACATTTAACTACCGAAATGATATAGAAACCCAAATGATGAGGTTAATGATGACGCTTCATGTTCTCTATACACACACACACACACACATCATTAATTCCATTCGCCCGACAAAGTAAATTTAACCTTTTAGCGCAAAGTATGCAACCGAATAAAAGCACAAAAATAAACACTAACCCAGAGTCAGAGTCAGAGCCATCCCAGATACATACATATGGTATGTAGAAGCATTAACCTCAACCCCCAACACACACATACAGTTGTGTTCAATGAAATAGTAGTGCCGCACCTCACTACTTTCAAAACTCTTTTTGAGATAGTTCTAGTCTTTCAAATTGAACAAGTGATACCTTTACGGAAAGCCTGGAATGTAGGCATTGGATAACCGAAGAAACCCCGTTACATTTGCATTCCATCTTCTTGTTTTTCATGACTTTAGATAACTACCCATGATATCTTCTGTTCAATGAAATAGTAGTGCTGGGTTAAATTAATTTTTAAAAATGAAAAAACAAAGCAAATTAATCTAAATAAGTCACCATCCGTAAGCTCAATTTGGTGATTGAATAATTTGATGAAAGAAAGTTTTGGACATAGCGGTACTTTTGATTTTGAAGCGTTAAAGAAATCATTGCTCGGTCCAGAAGAGGATACTTAAGAGTTAGACTAAAAACTTAAGGCAGGAGGTATATTGGAATTGAAAATTAAGTTGTATGCACTCTCACTATTGTATTTAACCCAATTAACTAAAAGAAGTAAACTGAAAATCGATTTTGTATGCGAAAAATTTATTTTTTAGAGGATGGTTGGCGGCGGTCGAAGGCAAGACCAGGCCTTGAATATCCTCAAAAACTATGAAAAAAATTTTTAATCGATCTGTCAGTGATGTGACAGTTTGTAGACGGTTGATTACACATTATTTGAATGCAAGAAGTTCCAGAAAGCTCCGCGTTTGGGTCTAAGAGTACATGGGTGCACGACTTCAGTTTGGAAAAACGCATGTGGAATGGCCTGTGTCACAGTGACAAAAATACTTTTGACTGATGATAGTAAAGTTGTATTATATGGTAAGATAGACTCAAAAGAATATGTTTGGCATTCACAGAAATTCAATTACCACTTAAAATCATGAAAAAAATAGCATTGGGCATGGAAGGCTGAGCCTTATGGGGCCCAGCTCATATAAGCTAGTACTTTCTAGCCTGGCGTTTGAGTATAGTATGGTTTTGAGCGAAACTGTGTATGTAGGTATACTTTAGAATACATTAAATTCAAATTACAGTTGAAAAATTCATGTTAAAAGGATCTTTTAACAGGATAATGACTTAAAATACCCAGAAAAGCTCGCTAGGAATTGATTTTTATCGGAAAAGATCGACGTTTTTCCAAGGCCAACTGTCCAACTAGATATAAATCTCATCGAAGTCTTATGCTGGAATACCAAATACATTGTTGACACTGCAAATCCGTGAACCAGAGCCTAGTTTTAGCAAGTGGTTCATGGAATTATTGGCTCAAATCCTATTGAAGCGTTGGCAAGAGATTAATGACCCATATCCGGCCGGTGCAAGTTCGCAATGAAAACCAAATTGATAAAAAACTACAAATTAAAGCTCAAGAAACATGAAGAACATGAGATATATGTTTTTATTTGAGTTTCGTTGTTTTTTTTAATTATCTAAAAAAACACTACTATTTCATTGAACAGCATATTTTATGGGTATTCGGCTTATGTCATGTAAAACAAGAAGATGGAATGCAAATGTAACGGGGTTTCTTCGGTTATCCAATGCCTACATTCCAGGCTTTCCGTAAAGGTATCACTTGTTCAATTTGAAAGACTAGAACTATCTCAAAAAGAGTTTTGAAAGTAGTGAGGTGCGGCACTACTATTTCATTGAACACAATTGTACATACATACATACATAGCTCAAAATGTAACTCTTGCTACCTGCTCAAACATTTTCGCCTAGGTGTTAAAAATAAAAAGCTGTCAGAGATGTGTGTGTGTGATGACGACGATGGTTGTGCAGGGGTAGGGGGTACACGCGGTACGGCACTCATTTAGTGCCTTTGCTGTACACATGTCCTCTGTACCGTTCAGTACTCCCCATGGAATCAGTCGTACCCTGTCCTGCTGTAGCGCTCCTGTGTATCTAGCAGAGTCACGTCTCCTGGCGTTGTCATAATGAATTCAGCGTTTATGGCGCTTATTCCATTTGGTTTCATTATCAGTATGTACATGTATCCCCACTAACCCACCACCCCTCCCCCTTTACCTATCCTTCTTGCTTTCTATGACAGTGTTGCTCGCTCTCTCTCTCTCTGTGTTCTATTCCCCACCTATTTGTCCTCTCTTTTTGGGTGACCCTTGTGCCTGCTGGTGTCATGTGCGTGTCATGTTGCTTAAAATAAGACACATTTAACATTTTGCAAGTTTAAAATTGGGGCTGAGGGTTGGAATTCTATTCGTGCACAGCCACGTGACAGTTTTAACTTAATTCCTGCAATGATTTGATATTGGGTTTCAACTTATCAATCCTCTCTATTCGTCTATCTATTTGCAGGTTCGCACACTTTTTGTCAGCGGTTTGCCCATGGATGCCAAGCCGCGTGAACTTTATTTACTATTCAGAGCCTACGAGGTGAGTTAAAGTTGCATATTTTCACAAGAAAATAAAATCATAATAAATAAATTCTTTCATAATTTAGGGCTACGAAGGATCTCTTTTGAAAGTAACTAGCAAAAATGGCAAAACTGCATCGGTAAGTCAGAATTTAAGACGAACCTAAGGATGTTCCTTACTAATGATTATTTATTGTGATACCCTGTACAGCCCGTGGGCTTTGTGACATTCCATACAAGAGCTGGAGCCGAGGCAGCCAAGCAGGATCTGCAGGTAATAAATTCACTCGTTAATAATATTTCTATTATCTTTGAATATTTCAAAAAAGAAAACACCAAAATAATTTTTAGCAATTTTTTTTATCAAAAAAAAAAAAGATAAAGAGAAAAAAAAAACCCTCCCTCTTCTCGGCGAATAAAAAGTATTATACACTGTAAAGCACACAAACAACAACAACAAATCAAAATACTTGTATAATCGTATTGCCTGGCTTCCTTCAACAAAAAAATAAAAAATAAACTACCGTTTTAGGCCCTCTTAGCCGCTGCTATCCCCCAACAACAACAGCAACAAAATGCAATGTGTATCTCAAAATCCAAAAAAATTGTGGAGCCCATAAAGCTCTTGCATCATCACCCCCCACAAAAACAAAAAACCAACAACAACAAACAAAGATCTACACACACATAAAAAAAACACGACACGTGCTTGCATTTGAAAAAATGAAAAAAACAATTAAATTTAAATTTACATTTCACCCAAAAATCGCATTAAGTGTTTTCCCCTCTCTGTCTTACTCTTACTCTCTCGCTGTCTCTTTTTCTCTTCATTGAGTTGTGTATTTTTTATTGTTTTTGTTTTTGGTATTGCATCTCCCACTCTCTCTCTCTCTCTGTCTTACTCTTTGCTCTCATTCTTGCCCTATCCCAGTAAAAACACGCAGAAAAAAAACACACACACACTTACACTCACTGAAAACACACTCACACCTATAAACGGGTACACTCATGACACTCACACAAACACACTTTCATCTATGGCAAAAGCTCAATGCAAGAAACAACAACAACCAAAAGGCAAAAGCGCAAAAGCACCAACCAACAACAACGAAATGAAAGCCACTCTGGTGCATGCCCCCTCCTCCCCTCCACCCCTCTCTAACAGACAATCCCTCTCGCAATCTGTCTCACCCACATGAAGTTGAACCACTCTATCCAAAATGATCGTTTATCGTCGAAAACTTCTTCTAGATTCCACTAGGTAATCGCTTAAATAATCATATTTTTTGTTAAATAAAAAGTTGAAATTGCTTTTTGTCATTTAACGTTTACATGTGAATGGCCATTTGCCATTCAGTTAGAATTCACTATTTTGTGTAAAATTATACATAATAATTCTAATCGAATTATCCCATTGATTCTTGTACTTTAACGTTTACATTTTAAAGGCAACTCGGAAATCGGTTTAAATATCATTCCCGTAAGGAATAACCTGCTTTTGTTGCCCATTAGTGAAGATCTAAAGCAGAATGTCATCTGCTCTCAAAATCTGTTACCTTTTTCATCAAAAATATCCACGCTACAAAAAATCCCCTACCACACCATAAACCACAAAAGTACATACAGTGCAGGCACTACCGATATATATAGAACAAATATCAACGTTGAATGACCACCCCCCCGCCCGTTCCCTGACCCGCCCTCAAGCAAATGAATAAAAAAAAGCTCTACTAAGAAAATTATTATTCATTCACAATTTTTTTAAATTAAACGTTACTTTTACGCGACATTCAAAATTATTTTTGGCGAATTGTTGCAAAAACTATATAATTAAAAAAAAAAGAAAGTCTCTTGAGAAACTTGAACAACAAAAAAACTATACAAAAAAAAAAGAAAAAAAATACAAAAATAGAAAATACAAACCGCTGTATTTTGATCTGATCATTTACAGCAGGGTGTACGCTTCGATCCCGATATGCCCCAAACAATTCGCTTGGAATTCGCCAAGAGTAACACGAAAGTGAGCAAACCCAAACCACAGCCCAATACAGCGACAACAGCCTCACATCCTGCATTGATGCACCCACTCACTGGACGTAAGTAAAAAAAAAAAAAAATACAAAAAAAATAAAAGCAAAAATAAAAAAAAAAGAATGAGATTTCGGCAGTTGCTAATTTCTTTAGTTTTTTTTGTTTGTTTTATTTTTCCTCTTACTGTATGTAGTTAATATTAAAAAAAAAAGTACATTATGTTTAAGGGTACAACAAAAACCAACAAACGAAGGCGTACTCGATAACGATAAAACGCAGAGCACTATCCTAACTTATCGACACGAAAAAGACACACACACACACACAACGAATACACACTGATACGTACACACTCTGATATCCAACGATTTGAGCAGTTAAAAAGACGAAACGAAAATACATGCTTTCAAGTGCACATAAACACACAGAACTTTTATAGAATATAAGTATATAAATATCGTATTTATGTATGCTATAATTATCATATATATAAAAGTCGCTATTGGGTCTTAATCGTATATTACATATATATATTCCCAACTATAGGTTACAGCAACAACAAATAATAACTATACCATATTATATTATATTATATATATAATGTACTGCACTTTGATCACTTGTTACACTTTGTTTCAAACTCTCACACACTCGAACACACACACACGCAACACACCCACAAAACACACACAACCAACACACAGAGATACTCAAAAAAGGACGCACTCGCCAAAAAAAAAAAATAAATGCTCGAAATTATAGACAAGAGGAGGCCTTAAAGCACCAGCAGATGGGCAGGGATGGAAAGGGGAACTAGTTCCCTAATTTGGGGATACAAATTTGAACCTTAAAGATTCCTAAACTTGTAAATTGAATATTAGAGGGTTAACCTTACATTAAACAATGAAAACTTTAGAAAAATATTTTGTTATATTTATAAACCAATGTACAAGCAGTTCTAAGGCCTGAAAGGATGCTATTTTCCGCATTTAAAATGTCTCAATTTTCAGGAATATAAAAATAGTTACCAAAATGTTTTTTAAAGCTTCCATTAAATCTCCTTAGATTCTTTTAAAATATTTCAAAATATCAACAAAGTTATCCAAATTATCCAATTATTTATATAGAATTTAAGTACTTCAATAAAGCGCTCAAGTCCCCGCAGAACTAGTTCTTTGAAATCAAATCTTTCCATTCCTGGCTAGCCAAACAAAATAAAAGACTGAGACAACGAACTTTCCATATGAAACAATTTTATTACCTAAAATAAAATCCATAAATATATATATATTTTTTTTACCTTTTTTTTGGAAACCTGTTCTTGTTCTATTTCCATTTTTGATTTTTGTCAACTACTAACTAAAAAAAGAAAAAATCAAAACAAAAACTATGTGTTTAGCTTTAAAAATCAAATCAAAACCAAATGATTTGGAGCTTGGGAGATAATCAAACTAATTAGTCTACTATTCTCCATTTCTCATAGATCTGGGTGGGCCGTTCTTTCCGGGCGGACCGGAGTTATGGCATCATCCGTTAGCATATTCGGCAGCAGCCGCCGCTGATTTACCAGGCGCTGCAGCACTGCAGCATGCAACATTAGTACATCCGGCCCTGCATCCGCAGGTGCCAGTGCGCTCCTATCTCTGACTAAATACAGACAAAGTAATGGAGCAGCCTATGCATCAAGTAAGACATACAAAAATATATTCTGCATTTTATATACGTAGATATTAAATGTACATTTTTACTACCAATTTTTTTTGTAGACTCAAATGACCATGCCGCAACATCATCAGACCACTGCTACTGCTATACATCCTGGTGCAGCTGCAATGGCACATATGGCCGCTGCTGCGGCAGCTGCCACACCACAAAATGCTGCTGCTGCGGCAGCAACTGCCGCCGCTGCTGCTGCTGCACAACATCATCATTTTTTATCGAGTCCAGCGTTGGCAAGTCCCGCCGGATCCACGAATAATGCCACACATCCGGCTAATCCACAGATTGCGGCCAATGCACCCTGCTCCACGCTGTTTGTGGCTAATCTCGGCCAATTTGTCTCCGAGCATGAACTCAAGGAGGTTTTCTCTAGGTAAATATTTTAAAATAAACACTAAAAACTAAAAAAAAAAAAAACCAGCACCCAACCACCAAACTAAAAAGAAAAAAATGGAGAAACACAACAAAAAACCCACACAACCATTTTATTTAGGCACTTTTTGTGAGCAACAAAAAAAAAGTACTAACCAGATCTAACTTTTATGCGTTCTCTTTCCTTGGTTCGTTTGTTCGCCCACCTACCACCACCAAAACCACCAACCACCAAAAAAAAAAACCACCACTCGATATCACCTCTTCTATTGTATAATACATTGAATATAATCGAAAATCTACAAAAAAAAAAAAAATATATATATATATTCTAACCAACAACAACAACATCAAATAATATATATATATATATATATAACCATGCACAGTATGCCTGGCTTTTGTCGCCTACGAATGCACACAAAAGGTATGCACCAAATCACAAATTCTATGCCTCTGACTATGTCTACAACTTTGAAAACCTCTACAAAAACAACTTCAACTTCCTACTCTCCAAACAACAACAACAACAAACTATCGAATGCAACAACAACACCAACAACAGTCATGGCCACAACAGCAGCAACTGGCTCAAGCTGCTCCATCAATAACAACAACAACAACAACAACAATAGCAGCATTCAACAACAACAACATCCAGTGGCGTTTATTGAGTTCAAGGATGCGCCAAGCGCCGCCCAGGCCATGCAACAGCTGCAGGGCAAGTATCTACTTAGCTCCGATCGTGGATCCATACGGATCGAATATGCAAAGAATAAAATGTCCAACGATATAACCACAATTGTTGGTAAACAAGCTCAACAACAGCAACAGCAACAACAACAGCAAGCAGCACAGCAAGCCATAGCACCGCCACCACCACCACCGATATATATATTGAATGGTAGTGAACAGCTACAACTACAGCAGCACTTGCAACATCAACAGCAACAGCAGCAGCAGCACCTGCAACAACAGCTACTACAGCAACATCAGCAACAACAGCAACATCAGCAACAACAGCAACAACAACTGTCAATGGCAACAGATTGCACCATGAACACCAACGGCACCAATGATAGCACCACTAGCGTTGTTGTTAACTCACTACAGCACCACAACCAACTTCATCATCCTTCAAATCAGCACCACCAAAATCATCTCTTTAGAGACGTATGTATTCAATTCCGAGTGAAACAAAAGTGATACCAAATAGAAAACCGAAAAGAAAAACCAATATGTGTGTGTGTGTGTGTATGTGTAGACCATACCCTAGATGATCCACATATGTACCATGTACTACTGTACTTGTCTATGCTCTAGATGATCTGAACTATTCTTAGCTGTGCTTGCTCTATTCCTCTGTGCTATCATCTTTTTTTTTAGCTGTACTAACTTTCATTTCAACTATAAAACACTATATAAAACATTTTTAATTTAAGCAAGTTATTTTAAAAGAGATTACACAGAACACATAGATGAGCTGGAATTGCTCGCTTAAAGCAGAGTTCTGCTATAAGAATATACTTACACTCGTTTAATTTTATTGCCTGCTCTAAAAGATTTGTAAACCCATTTCTACTAGTTCTATGCATGTTTCCACACATATTCAGCGCTCATTCTCTTCATATCAAATACAAAAAATAATCGCTCTATAGCGTATCCCATTCGTAGTGGTCACAACTATTATTAGAATGTACTTACACGCTCATTCTCTTCGTTTTCCGTTCGTTTTGGCACCAAAAATGAAAATTATGTACTTTTTCATTAATTTTTGCAGCCTACCCTCTCGTGCTTTTCCTTAAATGGACGCATCTGAGTGCTCAAAAAAAGGTGTTCCACCTAAGAAACCCCTTCTGTTCTTTGAATGCCGCTGAGTGCATAGCTTACACCCTCATTCTCTTCATTAGATATCGTTCCAAATCGTGTAAATAGCTCAACTATGTGTTCTAGAATCTTGGCCAATAACTTTCTTCCTTAGTTGCTGCTCCTAAACCTAATCGCCTGCACTCCTTTTCACTAATAGCACACACCCACACACACATCCACACACACCGTTTGACCCATAAATATTAGATGCACACCCTCCCCATTCAATTCACCAAAACACAAAAAAAAAAAAGAAAGGGTCCAGAAACCAATCCTCTGTAGCATGAGATCCTTTCTACTAACTGGAATATAAAGCCAAAACCCCATTAAATATTTATAAAATTTTGCAAATTTTTATTGTTAAGCTTTGGTGCTCGTTTACTTTGCATGCTACCCACCACCTACCTACCTCGTACCACCACCTACAACCACTCGAACCACAGCAGCAACAGCAGCAGCATTCAGCAGCAGAAACAAGTAAGAAACCCGCCCAAGGGATGCCCATAACAATTCATATGTGTTTGTGTGTGTATGTATTTATGTTTCATACAAGGGAGAAATAGTGGGAGTGAGAGCAAGGAGTGGCCATAACAATTGGAGCCACATTTAAATACAAATTATAACACACACAAAATGCAGTGGAAAGTGCTCCCAAAACAAGTTATGACTTGATTATGATAGTAAAAGTTAGAAGGGAGTGGAGGGAGCTAAAACAGGTGGCCATAAAGGAAAAGAGATGGATACATATGTATATGCATATTTATGTATGTAGAGTGTAGAGTGAATGAGAGAGAATGAGAAGCTTTTACTGCCACTCCGCCACTGACTTCTCCCCAGACATCCGCTCTATAAATGTTAGCTTCCGTTGAGACTTAAGCACCTTTCTCTCTCTCCCACTCACTCTACCCAACTCTCATTCCACTTCACCGCATGTGTGGGTGTGTGTGTGTGTGGTCTCGCACGTCTTTCAAAATGCTAAAAGACCACATAAATTTAGTTTTTCAATTTGCTGCAAGAAAAAACAGCAACAGCAGCAGCAGCAGTCGTGGGGAGAAAACTTTATAAAAAATGCAAAAAATTAAACGCATGCCACACCCATATTGCCACACCAGTCTCTGCCACACCGCTGAATGCCACACTCCACTGCCCTTATACGCTAAAAAGTCATGAAAAATGTTACAGTTTTACAGCTTTTACGAGTGGCAGCATTAAACAAATACAAGTGGCATGGAAATTCAACCTTTTCCTTTGTAATTTTTTAAGTTTTTATCTTGAGAACGTACCAAACAAAAAAAATAATACCCTAGAAAACTAAAACCCATAACCAAAAAAAAAGTCTAACGAATCCAAGTATCTCCAAGCATGTTAAAAAATCACTCAAAGCACCCACAATTGAGCGCATGTGATGCAACCAACAACAAAAAAAAAAAACCCAAAAAATCCAACCATTAAACATTTACTAAATGAATGTATTACCTCAATTATTTACAGAGGAGCGGGTATGGAATCACGGCATGATTTGCTCGCTAAAAAACTAGAGAGAGAAATGCAACAACAACAACAGCAGCAGCAGCAGCAACAGCAACAGACGCAAGTGCATCATCAGACACAGCAGCAGCAGCAACAACAACAGCAGCAACATCATGCAGCAGCAGCAGCAGCCGCGGCAGCGCAACATTACCATCAACAGGCAGCACACCACCATCACCAACAGCAGCAGCAACAGCAGCAACAACAGCAACACCTGAACCACCATCATCAGCATCATCATCATCATCACCATCAGCAGCAACAGTTCTTGATGACGCCGACAGCAACCTGACGATTCCATCACTATGCAGGTGGAACGACGCAAGCCACACATCTGCTGCAGCAGCAACAGCAACAATATCTGCCGCAGCAACAGCAACAGCAGCAACATCATATCTATTCGTATGTGGTTCCGGCAGTCAGTCACATAGCAGCCTGATGGGTTGATGATCCCACATTTGAGTTTGAGTTCCATAGGTCAAAAGGAGCTCCCGCATGCAACGGATTCATGCGTTAAACAGGAGGCAAAACAAATAAAAACAAGAAAAAACTTTAGTTCTAGAACAAAGCAAACAACAGAAAAAGTAAAAAAAAAAACTAAAAAAAAAAACTTAAAAAAATTAAGAAAAAAAAAACAAAAAAGAAAGTTAATTTATAGATGAGAATGAAACAAAAAAAAGGAAAACAGAGAGAAAGAGAAAATCCCCGTAATCCCAGTTTAGTGAAATTTTTCGACAGAAGAAAGCAGCAGAAGAAAAGCAACACAAGATTGTGTAGAGGAACCAAAAAGCAAAACTAAAACAAAAAAGAAAACGAAAATGGGAAAAAACTTGTAGTAAAATATACAAAATATACGATAGATCGGAAAAGCTGAGCGAACTACTTAAACTAAAGTTAGTAAAAAACAAAACAAACCAAACAGCCGATGATATGCCCCCTATAAACAAATACATATTTATATATATACATACATATACATAAACCCTATATATATGTGTATATATTTATAATAAATATTAATTATATATAGCAAAGAAAAAAAAAAACAAAGCTGAATCAAGAAGAATTTTTGTTCTCTTTTGTTGAATTAATTTTGTTTGAAGTCGTTTGTTTGTTTTTCGTTTGATTTAAGACTCAATATCCTGCTCCTAAAACCAATACCCCTCCCCAACCATCCACATCAATCGTTCAACAACAAAAATGGAATTGAAACATGAAATTTATAATTTTCTATTTTAATTATTCTATTGGTTTTCAGCATCTAAATAAATATAAAATAATAAACGGAAAATTTAAGAATTAAAAAATATATAATTATAGCTTAACCGAATGTGCCCTTTAAATAGCTCTCTTTCTAGTATTATAAAACAAACAAAAAATATGAGAAATACCAAAAAAAAAAAACAAATACATAAATTAATGTATTGCATTATTGGTAATAAATTTGTATAATTAATAAGGAAAAAGTGGAAATTTTTCTGAAAAATAATTCAAGCAAAACAAAATGAACAAACAACGAGTGTAGTCGATGTCATTACTGAAAGCTGGTTTCGCAATAACAAAAACTAGATGAAAACAAAATACAATTTATTTGTTACAAAATGAATTTGAAAATTTACTCAAAATGTTGCAGGTTGCGTGTGCGCCGCACGCTGTAGTAAAGATAAAAAGACTCGAAAGATTTTCTAGAAAAACAACAAATGAAAGGACACTCTAAAGACAAACTTTCCGCCCAAGAAAATGATTTACTTTTTTTCCAATGATTTTTATTCGAGAATTTCCCCCGACAAAGACTACTATAAAGGGACTCCCTTCCTAAAGACTATTCCTAACTACATTTCGAAATGCTAGAACAATCAAATCACATTTCTTGCTAACAAACAAACAAACAAACAAAAACCAACCAACGATTTAGATGGGGCGCAGAAAGAGCAGCGGGGAGGAACGTGGAGATCCAATAGCTTGAAGAGAGGGTGATAGGAGAGAGGGATATAGCTTCGAACGAAAAAGGACGAGTAAATTAAATCAATTTACATATCATCTTATGTAGCAACAACAACAGGAACTACACAAAGAACAAATTCAAATTGTAACTAAAACAAAAACTAAAAACTAAAAAAAATTAAACTTAACTTAAAGGCTAAAACTAACTAACACAAAAACATAGCAACAAAGTGAAAAACATTTAAAGCAAAAGTTGAAGTTTATTTTCTAGAGAGTTCGTTCAGTTTTTATTTTTAAACCAATTTTAAGTATAAAATAATATACGGGATAAAATCTTTAAATATTTTACCAAAGTTGTCCTTAATAATTTAACAAGAACAAAAATTTACCACACCACACAATTTGTTAAACAGCAATCGTATGAAAAATATATACTAATTTTTAATGGTTTCGTTTTTAAGGTATATTTTTTAAGTTTAAGGGTGTTTTAGAAATGTGACTAGACATACCAAAGGCATATTGGAAACAATTGTTAAGAGAAAATATGAAAAAACAAACAAAACTAAAACAATCGATTTATCGATTAGTCGATTAATAATTGGTAAAGTTTCAGAGAGCCCACACATTTTATTCTTAGGTTTTCCTTGACTTTTTCTCTCTAACTTTTTAGTCGAATGTAAAACGCATATTCCGTCCAATTACATTTCTTGCTTTCCTCTTGCCCCTCAATCAAACAAAAACAAAAATATCATTCCCTCATCTCAGCATCGCGTTGGTCCAAAACAAACATCAGAAAACATCATCAGAAAAGTCTCTATCTATAAGTCTGTAATCCTAAGCCACACACACACACACAAAACAGACAGCAACAAACAGAAATATAAGTGAATAAATTAGTTAAAGGTTCTAGTGTTTAAGGAGGAGGAAAAATGTTTAATTATATTATAATACTAATGCATATCATAAAATTGCGCCTTTCAAACAAACAATTTAAACAACAAAATATTTACAATTAAACAGTAAGCATAATTAACAAACAATTAATAGAAGCTAAAAATGTTTAAACAACAAACAAATATTTTCGAAATTAGTTTTTAGCTTTTAAGAATAAACAAAGGCAGATTTTGCAATGACGAAAAGGCTTTTGGGGCCTAAAAGTATGCAACAAAAGAAAAGCAATGTAAAATACACACACATGCGTTGTGTGTGTTTATTTGTGTGTGTGTGTTTAGTGTGTGTGTGTGTGTGTGTGTATATCTAAGGAACATTTTGTGTGCAATTTTCATTCAGTGAAAAACCCAACCAACGCGATGAAAAGGATCGTTCCCCGCCCCCGCCACAACCCCTAGAGGCTTGATTTTTCAAACATTCTTCGAAACTACAAAAATTTCATAGCTATATAGATTTCCGATTTCTAGTATAGATATCATCAAGAAGCAGAAAAAATAAAAACCACTTAGAACGTAAAAAGAATAAACTAAAGAATGACATTGGAAAATGAATGAAAATAAAAATGAAAGAAAGTAAGAAAAAAAACCTAAACTAAACAATATGAATTATGGGAACATTATATGAATATATATACACCACACATATAGTATATATACAAATATAGATATATTAAAAACATTTTTGAAATATAACAAACAATGGGAAAACAACAACAGATACATATCAGCAAACAAATGGATAAAGAGAATGGATAAATGAATGGTTAAGGATGGAGAAAACTTTTACAATAAAAGCGATATGTTTTGATGTGGTTTTTAAACACTTTTTTAAAACATTGTAAGCATAAAAAGGCAGTAAAGCAGTTACCAAAAAACAAAACAAAAAAAAAACAAGAATACAATTGAAAGAAAAGAAAATAAGAAAAACAATTTAGTAATAGATTATGGAACTACTTACCAAGTAAAATGGCATAATAGTAGCTGTAATAGAAAGACAGTAAAAAAAACAAACATTAAATATTTATTCTATTTGTATTTGTATTTTTTTTGTTATAATTTCCATTGCTTAAATGTATTTTTAACCCCAATTGATTGCCTTATGTTTGCCTAAAAAAAAATAATACTAATTTCTAAGTAATTTATGTGTAATCTTATTATGTATCCCTATCCGCTCCCCGAATCCCTACCATATATACGATATATCTTTTGTGTAGCCTTAACTTAGAAAACTTTTTCAATTGACGGTATTAATTATGCATAATAAAAACATTTATATTTTGTTCGTTAAACAAAAAAAAAATCGAATTATTTTTTCATTCACACACACAAGATAAAACAAAAACTTTTGAAGAAACGAATTTTAAATTAGTGAAAATTTTGAAGCAAACCAAAGCTATACAAATACATATATACTATATATATATATGCATATCTCGTGTCATTTGAAAAGGGATATCCAAATACTAGAGAAGCGTGGCATTATATAGTACTCAAAAGGCATAGACACCATGGGAGAGATATTTGCTGTAAATTTGTAATAGTATGCATATATATAGTATAGGGAATATAGGGAGTTAAGTTTAGTGGGAAAACTGATATTGAATATTGAAAATATCAAGCAGAAAAACAACATACACACACAAGTCGAAAACATATCAAACTCGTGCCCGATTAAAACTATATATACACATGATATACACAACCTATATCTTTATAGATATATCTATGAAAAACAGCAGATAAAATTATGAAATGAAATCTATTATCAAGGATAAATCACTCGAAAGTTGAGTCAATTTTTATCAGTAAATTATACGAAATAAAAAGCGTAATGGCGTAAAGAATAATATTAAATATTAATATTAAAAAAAAAAACAAAACAAAACAAAAATGGCAAATATTTGTCTATTTTGAGGCTCATTTATTTAGCATTTTCTGCAAAAAATTAAAAACAAAAAATTATTACTTTCTTTCGAAACAAAGGAAATCTTTTGCTAATAATGTAAAAACAAAAAACAAAACCCATTGATTTTTGAAGCAAAAAACAACAAATAGCTAAATATTATTATTAAAAAAAAAACAACTTACATAAAGCAGAAACAAAAACTCGTATATATAAATATAAATATCAGCCTTGTTCTTTATATATATATATATATACATATATATATATTTGAAAAACAGTATAAAAAAAGCAAACAAAAAAGCAACCAAAAAAATGAAACCATACAAAAAGAATATTAATAAATTATTAACTACTATAAAACCAAAAAACAAAAAGTATTTAGCGAAAATATTGTATTTGTGAGTTTAAATGTATTGTTGCATACGAAATACCATAATGAATGAAGAACCCATTACAGATCGGTGCAGTTATCGGTATGTTATATACCCCAAACCGATTGGCAGTGAAAGAAAAAACGATAAATGATTGGATTGGCAAGAACCGACTAGAAACAAAGTTTAAAGAAAAAGACAGAAATTGAATTCAAATTACAATTACAAAATGCAGATTATTTCAAATTATAATTATAAATAATTGTCACAGCAGAGAAAGCCGAAAACAGAAGAAAGACAGCCCCATCCCTAAGCTGTCCCCCCCACATACAAATTATACAATTTGATAATGATAATATTTTCAAGCGATCGAAGAAGTGAGGGAGTAGCAGCACAAACGATATGCCCTGCATATGGTACGTTATATGTATATCCGGGTAGATGGGGGAATGACGAAACAAATCGCAGTTTGCAGCAGGCGACAAATTATAATAATAATAATACAAATAATAAATAAAAACTTTAACAATTGTTTTGTGTAATTGTAAAGCATGGAATTTGTTGTGGGAATGATCATCAACAATCAGCATGAGGTTCGGGGGTTCGGTTCGGTTCGGGATTCGCTCGGTGCTTTTGCGATAAGTGGAGCAAAATCTTTGCTTTGTTTGTGGCTTGCCTTTGATACCCATTTATTGTGGTGCAGGAGGGTATATACTGTAGATGGTAAAATAATGGTGGTGGAATAGAAAAAAGAAAAGAATTTCTTGTGCCCATAAAAGTCTTCGAATATGTTATCGCTATCGATGATTATTTATCGATATTATATATTTTTTTACAGATATATTGATTGTATTGGTATTGTATTATTGTTTATAGATTTTATTATTCGGAAATTATTAAATAATTAATCATTTTTATTTTTATTTATTTTTTTAATATTTTTTAATGCTAATTTATTGATTATTTTTATATCGGTTATTAATTATCGGTTATCTATTTTCATTGTTTATCGAATATAGGTTACATTCATTAATACATTAATCGACTATTGATGCATGGTTATCGATAGCTTATCGATATCGATAGAGTTTTATACGTTGTCATATAATTTCTCAAATTGAGTAAGGGGTATCTTCTCGTCCGTATACTCGATTCTAAAATATTGCTCTCACTCGCCTCTTATCGCTCAGTTTCAAATGATCTTTGGCAATAGGTTGCTAAACCCTCTGATGACAGACACACACTGCCGATAAGCGGTGGGATAAGCACAAAACGGGTCATTCTGTAGTCAAACCCCAAACAGCGATAAATGAATCAAACAGGAAGAGATCTGAACCTTACTCTCAGAGAGAGTACTCTACCTGAAGCACACAGAGAGAGAGAGAGAAAGAGACTAAGAAGATGAGGCACCCTGTTTGAGGGCAGCTCTATGTAGATTGGCATGGATTCAATTATCTGCCCGACAGACAGTTGTCTGCCAACAGAGCTACTGAGAGGTTCTAGATTCTAGAATGAGATTTTTGTGTGTTTTACTGCTCCTCATTGGGGTTGCTAGCCAGTCAAGGGGCAACAAGAAAGTCTCCTGCAAGGATGAGCAAGGCAACGATGTCGATTGGTGAGTGCCGTAACCAGCCATAAGTTTCCGCTGGATCTCCTCTCAGAACTCCTCTCTCTCTCTTTGTCTCTCTCTCGTGTAGGTGGCATTTGTACAAGCTGCCCAAACATTACCAACAAAACGATCTGGGCAAGGATGTGAGTGGCTTGAGGTATTTGTATGTGACCAGCAACAGCTACGACAACTGGCAACTGTCCGGGAAGCGGGTCAGCGATGCCGACTCCCTGCCTGCACAGACCATCAATGCCCTCAATGTGGATGCCAAGCACACCCTGCTGGCGGCCTACAACGATGAGTTTCCCAATGGCACGGTATTCAGCACTGGCGGCCACACCAAGGGTCTGGTGGCCAGCGATGGGGAGACGGGCGTATGGATTGTGCACTCGGTGCCCAAATATCCCACCCTGCCGGAGTACGCGTATCCCACCACTGGGGAGAACTATGCCCAGAGCATGCTCTGCATCACGGTGAAGGCCGAGGATCTGGAGAAGGTGGGCCAGGTGCTGATCTACAATGAGCCGCATTTCTACTACCAACGGAATCCGCTGCTCCAGAGATCGGACCTGCTGTTCCCCAGCCTGGAGCGGGCCATGCACGGCCAATGGCGCACCGAATCGCCCTTCCAGACGGATCTCGAATTGCGTTCCTTCGATGGCAAAAAGTTCCGTTTGTTCGGCAAGAGCGGACGCGCCAATGTGGAGCTCTATGCGGATGTGGTGGCTCCTGCCCTCGATGTCAGCCTCTTTGTGGAGGCGTGGCGCGATGGTGCCGGCAATCTGCCCAATCGCTGCGACATCTCGGACAAGGTCTTCAATGTTAAATCGATCGCCAATCTGGAGCTCTCTGTGGACTTTAAGACCACACTGGATCACTCCAAATGGGCCGTGTCCCGTCCCTCAGGCATTTTGCTCTATCACTGGCGTGTGGGCGGTGGCGATTGGATCTGTGTGGGTGACATCAATCGGCAGCAGGGCCAACTGGGACGTGGCGGTGGCACCCTCTGCCACAAGAGCTCGCGAGTGTCGAATCTATATAGAAATCTGGTGGCCAACTATGACAAGTGTGCAGAGGAGTAGTATGCAAGAAAATAACCCTTCTAGCTGTTAAAACAAAAAATAAACGAGAGCAATTTCCATTGATTTTAAACAATTTTTGGGAATGAAAATGTGTGCAAGATAAATATTATTGGATCTAATAACAATTTTGTGGCTATTCCATTGAAATAATTAAAAACCAAAAATCAGTTTTTGTTTTTTATAATTTCAATTTATTTTATTTTGTATTAAATTGAATTTTTTATATGTATTTAAAATTAATTTTTCTTGGTTTTTCTGTTTCTACTTAACATGACATGACGTGGCGACATCTGACTCACACTTTAACAGCGCAACACTAGCTCCGTCTAGTGTTCACTTCTGTAAGTCCTAACAGAGCTGTTACGAATGCTCATTGTTCGAACGCAAAAATGAGTTGGAGAGCGTAATTTGGTTTGAAATACCTCTCTTTGGTGGTGATCGATTTAATGAACTGTTTTGTATTATGAGTGGCTATGCGAAAATTTTCACTAAATTTTAAATCCATCTCAATACATTTTGCAGTTTATTGTATTCTTGCCGATACTAAACGGGATCGAGGAATCTTATCTAGGTCAAAAATATGTCAAAACGAATAAATTCAAACGGTATACAAAGTGCTATACTCCACAAAAAGTCGTTGATTTGTAAAAAGAGGACATTTTTTATGACCTTCATTGTTTAAACATTATTTTACAAGTAATCCAATAAATCGGAGCCCTTAAATAAAGCAAGATTGTAGAAAATTGATTCATGTATCTTATAAAATGATACATTCAATTGTTAAAGTCCTAACTAGCTGGTAATATTAAATCGAATATCAAAATTGATGAATATGAAGATCATCGGTATATTTGGGTATATTTTAGAGTCAGTCGGTATGTTTTGCCGATAAATCCGCGGTCACACTGTGAATGGCTCATTTTTGCGTCAAAAAGTGAGCTGCTCCAATTGGATTTTTATAATTCCAATACCGTGCAATTGGGAAAAATCCCATACCGTTTGTCCGAAATTGGGAAAATTGCAAATTCCCAAACAGAAAAAAGGGACCATATACTTTTTGAGTTTTTATTTTCAAATATCGGAATTCAAATATTTACTCTTCGGTCACACTGCACCCACCCCCACACACAGCAACAACAATAAATGCAAATTGCCAAAACAAAACAACGCGAAAAACAGAGACGGAAATTTATATAAAACACGAATCTGCTGATAAACGTAACGCCACAAACAGTTGGAATGTTTTGCTGCCTTCGCACCTGCCTCAATGGCGGACAATTGAGGAAACCAATGACAGCTGCCAGTCGCCTGCGGGAGCCCGACGTTCACCTGGATGCGGCGCATATGGGTATCAAATGGACAAAGGATAAACCACAACCAAGAACATTAAGCATATAAATTGTATGGCCCACAGGTTCCGATGTCATTCTGCTGTCTCATCAGCTGAGGGTGACGGGCACTGGCGGCGTCCTGGCCACGGCACCGCTCGTCCAGTCCAAGTCCTACTTTGAGGTGAAAATCCAGCAGAGTGGCAGCTGGTCGATTGGCCTGGCCACACGCCAAACGGACTTGAGCCGGAAAAACGGTGGCGGTGATCGCGAGTCCTGGTGCCTGTGCTCCGACAATGCCACACGGCACAACGAGGAGGAATTCCGGCCCGTGGTGGTGGCCGCCTGCACGACGCAGCCACCAACAACGAAACTCAGTGCCAATGGCATACTGAACAACAGCGCTGCAGCGGCAGCTGGTCTCATTTCCATTGAGGATCTGCAACAGGAGGATCTGCTAATGACCACGGGCGTGGCACCGCCAAATGTATGCATTGGCGGTGAATCGTTAATTGCGGCGCCGCAGCGTGCCTTTCCCGACGAGGGTGACATTGTGGGCGTCGCCTTTGATCATGTCGAATTGAATTTCTATTTCAATGGCAAAAATCTGGAGGTGCCATTCCGAAATGTGCGTGGATCGGCACTGTTTCCCGTCATCTATGGTATGTGTATGCACGCCACCCCAAGCAGCTTTAGCTTTGTTCTTTGGCAGCTCTTAATTGATCTATTCTTTTGCAGTGGGCAATGGTGCCATATTGGACATTATTTTGGATAACTTTACGCACGGACCACCGCCCGGTTTTGAGCGCATTCTGCTGGAGCAGTCGCTTCTTTAGATAGTCTGGTGAACAACAATTTTAGCCGCGTGAGAACAAAATTAATAACCAAAATGACAGCTAAAAAAGTGCATTTCACAACTATAAGAGCAGTTGAGCGGAAAAGAATGGAACAAAATGAGAAACAAAGCAAAGAAAAGTGCGCAGAAAGGCAGCTGGCAGGCAAGAGCTACGATTGTTAGTGCAAAACAGTGTTCAATTTATTTCCATTAATATTCCTGCACTGTGTTACAGTCCCGACAGAATTTAACTCCAATTTCTTATCTATATACGCCAATCTATATCTAACAGCAGCACCTATGTAGCTTTATCTATTGGCCAGCACGTTCATTTGGCAATGGTTTCCAGTCAATAATACTGCTAGTGCATATCTAAGATACTCGAAAACTTTAGCAGTTTTCTAGCTTCTAATAATGGAAAAATGTTTCTAGACACCTTAAATAATTGTTGATAACAAACTTTGCAGTTGAAATGATCCACAAATGATCAATAATTTAACTTAAGCTTTAAATTAGCTTAAAAAATCAGTTAAAAATTAAGAGAAACTCTACGACTAAGAGTTATAATTGATTAAAACTTAATCCTAAAGCTCAATCGTACTTAAAGTAAAGCTCTCCAGCATAAACATTTTTCTGCTGATATTCCTGGCGTATAGTTTCCTTTAAATTAGTAAAGAAAATTCCGTTCTTCTGCCATCTTATAGTTATGAAAATCACTCGCCATGCCCAACAGACTGCAAGTGTATAAAAATTAAAGAGTAATCCTATCTAGTCCCTCGAACAAAACAACAAAAAAAAAAAACAAAGAAATATCTATTTAAAAATGATTGTATTATTATGTTTACTTTGTGTTATGTAAATTATTTATGTAGCCTAAAGCCGCGGCAACGACTGCTTTGTATTATACACACGATACACACGACAAAATGTATAACGATATATATGTATATCCATTCCACTACTGGGAGCCCAAAGTTTCAACCTTAAAGACACATTCCAATGGTCCAATTCGATGGGTCCTGTCCTCTCTTACTTAATCGAGCACGGCAATACCTAATTAACTTTAAGAATTATATCTAAATCTATATCTAAAACGATATCTGAATGTATCCAACGCTTTGAAAAAAAACAAAACAAAAAAACTGATTAATCCGCGCGCGGACAATAAATCGATGTTATGTACTTGCCATGGATTTCTATGTCAGGGCTACTAAAAATTGTCAAACAAAATTCATAAAAAAAAAAACAAAAAATAATTATTTTTAATATTTTAATCTTGAACAAAATTAAGAGTAGTCGGAGGGAGATGATCTATGGCTGGAAAAGGGGAGATCATCCAAATACATATTGGCCAGGCGGGGGTGCAGATAGCCAATGCCTGCTGGGAGCTCTATTGCCTGGAGCATGGCGTCATGGCCAATGGCCGTTTGATGCAACAGCCAGCGGATGACTCGTTTCTGACCTTCTTTGAGTGCACCAGCCAGCAGTCATGCGTACAGCCCAGACTTGTAATGATCGACACCGAGCCCACGGTTATTGGTGCGACTTCTTCTATGCTTATGCTATATTATTCTGTACTCTCATTAATGTGTGTGTTTTTACGTTGCAGATGAAATCCGCACGGGCGCCTATAAGAATCTCTTTCATCCGGACACGCTCATCAGTGGCAAGGATGACAGCGGCAGCAACTTTTCGCGTGGCTATAATCTGATGGCCAGTGAGCTATTGGATCGCGCCATGAATGCTATCAGACGCGTGGCCGATCGTTGTAGAAGTCTACGGGGTTTTCTGGTCTATCGGGCGATTGGCGGTGGCACCGGCTCCGGTCTGGGCACACGCATCATGGAGAAACTAGTCGAGGATTTTGGCAAAAAGATGACCATTGTGGAGTTTCTGGTGTATCCATCGCCATCGTAAGTCTCACTCCCTAACTTGTATAATTTATTCTTGACATTTTTTTTTATTTGCAGCATATCCCCTGTGATTGTGGAGCCCTACAATGCGCTGCTGGCCACACACTTCTCGATGGACTGTGCGGATGTCTCGTTCATTGTGGACAACGAGGCGCTCTATGATATCTGTGCCAATACGCTGAGTGTGCCCGCACCCACCTACACCAATTTGAATCGCATTATTGGCCAAGTGGTGGCCGGATTTACGGCCTCGCAGCGCTTTGGCGGTCAGTCCAGCGTTAGCTTTCAGGAGCTGCAAACAAATCTGGTGCCATATCCGCGCATCCATTATCCGCTGATCAATTACGCGCCACTGGTGCCCCACTCACACTCGCAGTTCGTCAATATGTCGACGGCCCAGCTGACGGGGCAATGCTTTCAGATGAGCAATCAAATGGTGCGCTGCAATCCATCGCATGGCAAATACATGGCCTGTGTGCTGCTCTATCGCGGCGACATTGCCACCAATGAGATCAACTTGGCGCTGGAGAATATCAAGCGAACGCGATCCTTTCGCTTTGTGGATTGGTCACCCACCGGCTTCAAGATTGGCGTTAGCAGCATGCCGCCAGCGTATGTGCCCGGCGGCGATTTGGCGCCCACGAACAGCGCCTGCGTGGCCGTTTCGAATAACACAAACATACGGATCGCCTGGTGTCGGCTGGTCAATAAGTTCGATAAGCTTTATCAGCGGCGCGCCTTTGTCTACCACTATGTGGGCGAGGGCCTGGAGGAGGGGAATTTCAGCGAGGCATCCGAGAATATTTGCCAGCTAGTACACGATTATCTGGAGGTGGATCAGACGGCACCAAGTACGCCACGCGGCGGCGACGTCGACGACGATATGGATTCATTGGGCTCTGATCATTAAAATTGGCTCTACCCTGCCTACCATAATAAAATTCATTGTCCTGTGTCTTTTTTTTTTATTATTTTTTTTTTGTTTGGTAATTGGCCGCTCAATTGATGTCTCGATGACTTCATCAAACAGTTTTACTCTTCGCTCTCTCTCTCTCTCTTCTCTCTCTGTCTCTCTCTCTCTCTCTCTCTTGCTCTCTCTGTCTCTGTGTGTTGGGGCCAAATTAAGTATTTATGGGAGGCTGCGCGGCTAAAACAAACATTGACCTGGGCACTGCAATTTGCGTTGCATTGACCCCAAAGGAAGAGCCAGAAAGGGCAGGCAGCAGCGAGCAGGGGTTTTTTATGTGGGCGTGTCGCCCCCTTTTGTGGGGTATAATTAAAATGATCGCAGTACGAGGCCCCAGGAAAGGGGCTTTAGCACGTAACCGAGGCAAAAGTCGCGCTTATCGCGATCGCAGCCATGGGCAAGGTCCCACCACGGGATGATGATGCGCTGCCTGCTCGCTCTTCCTGCCTGCTCTCTCGCTCCCCCTGCTCCTCTTTCTCTCTCCGTGCTCCCTGCTCCACTCTCTCTCACGCCCTGATCCTCTCTCTCTCTCTCCCTGCTCCCTGCTCCTCTTTCTCTTGCTGCTCCTCTCTCTGTGACGTGACTTACGCACGCTTTAAGCGCGATTATCGATGCAGGCAGCACAAACCCATACACAGAATATTCCCCTACTATCTGCAGCAGATCTTCTTTAGACCTTTCCAGAGCTTATCACAGCTCAAAAGCCCTTCCTTTGGTGTGGTCTTCGTCTTCGTCCTGTGTCCTGCACTGCACTGACCACTGTGTTATTATCATTATGGCTTTTGTTTCGGGGCTTATCCCCAATTCCTTTGTGTTAACTGTTGCTAATCTTAAATTGTTTTTGTGCTTTTTTTTTGCAGCGTGAGAACCGCTGCGTGTGGCATCTCTCGCTCTCTCTTTCTCTCTGTTTCTGGGACGTGGTGTTAATGAGCTAAAGGAAATGCCATGGACCACCTTGGGCACTGAAATTTCCAAGCCGTAAATGAAGTTGTTCCATCGATGGATTTGTTGGCTAATAAAGCAATTTGCCCCACCAAAAGTTACCCTCCAACTGTTTTTTTGCTTTGTTTTCTTTTTTTCTAGTGAGACGCATCTTTTGAAGGCTAGGGTCGGGCGGGTGTAGGACCCCTGCCTCTTGCCACATGAATGTGAAATATCTAGTTAACTTTGTGGGGGCTCTCTCCGCACTCCTGACCCCCTTTATTTATGCACTAATCCGTGGGAAATACTCGCTCAGAGACACCTGGGGGCCGATTTATGCCGCAACACAATAAAAAAAAAAAACACAGAGAGAAACATTGGAGCGGCCCGCACCCGCACCAGCAACAAAATGCAACAAAATGCAGCAGAAAAAGAATATAAAAGACGAGCTAGAGATGCTCTTTCTAGAGAGAGAGAGAGAATATAGGAAAAGATGCGACAAATGGGGCTGAAATAAGTAAGTGGAACTTATATCTGAGGGATTTGTGGAAGTATTTTACAAGATATTTTTTTCTATAAACAGAGGATAATCATGGTTGAAGGTAATTTTTAAAGCAACTTTTTATGTAAAATAAATTTGATTTTTATTTTATTTATTTATCTTTTGGGTTTTATATAGCTCGGGATTTATTTATTTATTTTATTTGGATTATGCTAATTTTATACAATGTTTTTTATATAATTATAATTGTGATTTTTATGGATATAAATAAATCCAAAAATCGTACAAAATAATATTCCAAAATTTAGCGTGAGGTCTGAAGGGACAATATTGGTTTGATTAAAGCGGCACCTTTCATCAGTTAAATAACTAGAGTTTTAAAGCAATGCTGGCCCATATAGTTCTAATGTTTAAGCCAACTTTAGAGAAAATCCCACACATGGTAGATCAAGACTTGCTTAGACTTAGCTTAGAGATCCCTTAAAGTAGACCCCAAGTCGCTAACAAAACCCCATATACCTCTACCACAAAAGAGTGCACCATGGAGAGGTAAAAATATGAAACAACCGTCGAGTGAATTAATAAAGCGCCTCACGAGGCGGCCGGCCACGCATTAAACGACACACACAAAAAAGGCATTTACAACGAAGGCAGGAAGAGGACCCAGAGAGCCAGGAACCCAGGCTCCGTCCATCCACATATGCAACCAATAGATGCCACATGACTGACCACAGCTCGCCATGGCACTGCACTGCACTCCACTCCACTCCACTCTACTTTTTTGTGTGTGTCTGTTGTTGTTTTTTTTTTGTTGTTTGTAGCCGAGGGCAAACATTTTGGAATTACAATTTTCGACTTCATTTCCAGGCGTCTTTTGGTGTCTTTGGCTTTGGCTTCGTAGGCACAAGGCAACACCTACCACAAATGGGGAACTAGCGACACCAGCGAGCACAGCCGAGCCGGGCCGTGCCGGGCTGGGCTGGCTGTACGGTGTACATTCGGTGGGCGGCTAGCAGCTGAGGGATAGGAGTCGGAGCTGTAGCTGTAGCTGGAGCTAGAGCTGTGGCTGGAGTTTTAGCTGGAGCTGGGGCTTTGGATATACGCAGCAAGTGTTTCGATTTATGTTTTTGCGCCTCAACCACCGGCTGCAGTCGTCGCAGCCAGTCACAACACTTATGCCACAAGACGCAAGACACAGAGAGCACAGAGAGTGTTGCTGCGGCGGCTGTGGCTGCGGCATATTCATTCAAAATATTTAACCAGCCGTTCAGTTCGGTTTGGTTCGGACCAGACCACTTGTTGCTCTTTTATTCATTCAATTTGTCAGTTTTGCACTAGCAAAACGAAAACCCAGTCCAAGTTTCCTTCCTCCTCCTCCAGCAGCAGCAGCAGCAACACTCCAGTCCAGTCCAGTACCCCAGTACTTCCCCGCGCATAGAGTCAAAAGGTTATCGCCACACTTGCTGCATTTATACAGCCTCATCATGGGGCAGGCAGGCAGGCATCATCATCATCATGATGATCATGATGGGGCGATCTCATGGTTATGGGGCATGGGTTTAATGCTGTGGCTGCACTGCGTTGTTGCTCTCTTCTGTTGCATGTTTACATGGCAAAATTATTAGTGGGTAATATTTGTGAAATATTTGTTTTCTAATCTGTAAACACCAATCATATTAGCAATTTGAATATGACAGCGCCAGCGCTACAAACAGTAACAGTGCATTCTCTCCACTTGCTGCTGCTGTTGTTGTTGCATAGTATAGTGCATCGCGTATGCCCTTTTGTTTTCGTGGGGGGTAAAACTTGATGGGTATTGGGAAGATGTTTTGTTAGTTAAACGCAGGAGGGAAGTACTAAGAAGGAAGGTATCGGCTGTACATATTCATGATTAACGGTTGGTCGTCTATCTTCTAAGTAGGAATTGAGATATAATTATCGATAAATATTGGTTATTGGTGATCGATAATTATCGATATCAGTAATAAATAAGACTAAGAGTCAGTATCGATAGTTATCGGTGACTGGAGATCGATAACTAATAGTAAAAAGACCTATCGATAATTATCGGGTTTTTTTATATCAAAATTTATCGATAATATTAATGATATATAAGAGTAAGTAAGTATCATGTTGAAATATAATAAAATCACTTCATCAGGCAATAACGAAAATAATCTGACAGATCGTGGCCATATCATGTAGATGATATGCAAAGAATTTAAAGAAGTCATGGACGATTAATAGACCGATTGAACTTTATTTTAGATATATTCGTTTCTGAAGAAAAGAAGGAGAATTTTAGAAAGGATTTAAGACATTTCAATCACCAATTCTATCCCAATTATAATTATAGATTTAGTTACATATGTTCAAATGGGAATACTTTTAGCAGAACTAATACTTTCATTTTCTTTCATAATATTCCTGAAAAATTTATTGTAAACTATATTCTATACCCATATATCTATCAATAGAAAGATTTACCAACAAGAGTATCTGATATTTCATTCTCACAAACTCAAATATTTTCCATTACATTTGTTGTTGTGGTCAACGGTCAGTGGTGGCTGGTGGCTTGTGGCTAGTGTGTGGTGTTTGGTTATTATGTTGGTTCATTCGTTCATTCGTTTGGGTGGGTGGGTAGGTGGGGCGTGAGTTATTATCTATTCAATTGTTGCACTTTGCTGCTTCCTATTGCCTTGAGCCATTCCATTGCATTGCCATTCGCTCCTCTGAATCTCCTTTCCCTCCCTTGCCAGCATTAGGTTTTATTTTATTTTTTTTTTTGCTGTTATGAGGCGACTGCCATGAAATTTATGATAAATGCCAAAAGATCTGCAAAAACTTTGAATTCGACTCGGCTCGTTAGCCATTCCTCCCTCATCTCCTCCCTCCCCACAACACATATCGCTGTTGCTGTTGGATCGTTTACAACACTTTAAGAGAATTTTACTGCCGCTTCACTGGCAGCACCCAGCATCATCTACAGCTCCAGAGCTCCGTTTGACTCCATTGGCAGCCATTAGCAAGGCAATTGACATACTCCTTGACAGACAGTCACAAGTCTCTGAGGAGTCGAACGCTCTAAGTGCATGGAATTTATCATCATCCATTCATCGAAGGGGCCAGCAGCAGGCGGGTGATATGCTGAGTAGACGTTTGCCAAAAATGGCACAAATAACGACATAATTTGCTGGAGATTTGGCCAACATCAGAGATCAGCAGCAGGCCAAATGGCAGGCTCAACTCTGGCAGCAGGCAGCAGACAGCAGGCAGCTGGCAACAGGCTTACAGGCAACTCTCTGGGTAAACGACAAACGACAATCGACATATGCAAATTGACTGTGAACGAACGAACGAACGAACGCAGACGACGCACAACAACAGAGCGAGCAGCCAAAAATGGTGTGCAAATCGTTAGGCCACTTTGTAAATGCACTGAAAAAAAAAACTGGGAAAATCCTTGGAGATATGGAGACTAAGGGAAGATCCAAGCAGATGCTCGTCTGTTCAAGTAAAATCCAAATTTCAGCGAAACTTCAGAAATAGGCAG